TCACCCTCAGGGGAACAGTGGCTGTGGCCCAGACTTTGTTAGGAATATCTCATCTCTTTGCCTCTGTCTTCATCAACATGGCCCAGGGGTCCGGCCCAGGTAGCAACCCTGACACAACCAAGCCAGGTGACCTTGGCAAATGACTTATCCTTCCTTGGCCTCAGTTTCTTTATTGGTAAAATTGTAGGGTTAGATTAGGTCCTTTGTTTTTATTTTATTTGTCTATTTTCTGCAGTACTGAATATTGAACCCAGGGATACTCTACCACTGAGTTACCCCCATTACCCCCAGCCCTTTTTTTCTCGGGGTTTGAACCCAGGGTTCTTTACTAGTGAGTGACATGACATCCCCAGTCCTTTTTATTTTTTTGTTTTGAGAAAGAGTCTCATTAAGTTGCTTAGGACCTCTTTAAGTTGTTGAGGCTGGCCTCAGACTTTTAGTCCTTATGACTCAGCCTCCAGGTTGGTGGGATTATAGGCATTCACCATGGTGCCTGGCTTTAGCCCTTTTTTATTTGAGACAGGGTCTTGATAAATTGCCCAGCCTGGCCTTACACTTGTGATCCTCCTGCCTCAGCCTCCGGAATTGCTCTTCTCCAATCAGAGTTCTAACTGCACTACATCAAAGAGCCCGAGAGGGACTGTAAGGGGGGCTGGAGCCCAGGCACTCCCGTTCTCCCCCACCCTTGGGGCCCTCAGGTTCTCAGACAAGGTCTGCCATCTCACATGCTCTATTACTTGTGCCTGGAGAGCTTGAGGGCAAGGCTGTGGTCTTTGTTTCCCTGCAGCCCAGTAATCAGACCCCAGCCCAGCACTTTCTGGGACCTTCTATTCAATGCTGAAGTCTTGACATTCTCTAGAGCGACTTCCTGCTGTCACTGAGGTCTGTCCCAGCCCTCATTATGCAAACTTCTGTAAGGCCACAGCCTCTCCTCCCTTTCTCAGGGCAGTTATAGGACCAACACCCCCTAAGCAATATCTGACCTTGTAGGGTTTTTCCTGGCTTGGGAAGGACTTCTTCAAAGTCATCTCATCCCCTGCTGCCTGCAGGACAGGTGAGAGATTCCTACTTGGCGGATGAGGAAAGGGCTTCAGCAATATTGGGAGACTGGCTCCAGGTCCCCCTGCTGCCTGGGGGTGCAGAGCTGGACACCGTGTCAGGAGGCCTGGAGCCACAGTCTGGGATGCCTGGCTGAGGCCCATTTCCTTAGCTTATCCCCAGGGTGTGGGAATGGGTCACCCCCTCCCCTGTCACCTTGGCTTCAGCCAGCCTGGGGCAGGGCAGGACTGGAGGACAAGGGAGGAGGAGAGACCTGGTCTTGGAGCTAGTATGGCACAAATGGGTACCGGAGGAAGCCAGCAGCCAGGCAGCTGACCCAGGGTTGCACAAAGGCCACTGGAGACATTGTGCCTGCATTGACATCACCAGCGCCCTGGAGGAACAAGCAAAGTTCTCTGGCTCTCACGATGACAGGCGTGGGGGCTGGGAGGAGCCAGGGGCCCCTGCTGCCACCTCCATGAGTCCCTACCAGCTACTGGACTGGAAACAAAGCCAAGTCAACAGTTCCTCGAATTGTGTTCCAGCCAGACTGCCCTGCCGGCCCAGAGCTAATAATATTGGCAGATGTAGGTCACACATCTTGCAACTTGATCCTTTGGGCTCGGATCCCACTTCACCATGTGAGCTTCAGGCGGGCAGTGTATGATGGGTACAGGCTGAGCTCAGGGTCCTGGGAGTAGACCCTGGGCCTGGGATCCTGGTGTGGCTAGGTCTGGACAGACCCAGGGTTGGCCTAGGTCAGGATAGTGGCCCAGAACTCGGGCAGCCTTGACACATATAAACTCCGTGGTTGACAGGCTGACAGCCTTAAGGACTGACCCGGGGAGGTCTGTGGGATGATGACAACCATTATTATAAAATTTTTACAAATCATAAAAGTGAAAAGTGCTTTCAGCTGTGGACGAGGGTGGAACCTGGATCTCCATCCTTTGTGCTCAGTGCTTCAGTGCCAAGAAGGGACCAGAGGGAGCTGAGGTCTGTGGGATCCCTGAACCCCAGTGGCAGCCGGGCATGGCCTTAGTGTGCAGCCTGAGCACTGCAGACACCATTGTCCCCTGTGTGGCGTTGCACTGCTGATGGGGGTTATCTGACGTACATGGCTGGCAGCAAAGTTTGGTGTCTAGGATGCCATCCTCAGTATGCCAGGCCATGCGTTGGCAGCCAGTAGGTGGCAAATCCTGCAGGTGACCCGAAGGCACAGGACTGAATGCTAGAGGCAGCTTCCTCTTCTGCCCTTTCTGTGACCCCTTCCTTGACCACTGTTCGTGATTCTCGCATTGGCCCCTGGTGTACCCATGCTTTCTTAACAACAGTTTTGGTTTGCTATTTTGGTACCAGGGATTGAACCCAGGGGTGCTTAACCACTGAGCTACATCTCCAGGCTTTTTAATTCTGAGACAGGATCTCGTTAACTTGTTCAGGGCCTTGCTAAGTTGCTGAGGCTGGCTTCGAACTTGTGATCTTCCTGCTTCAGCCTCCCAGGCTGCTGGGATGACAGGCGTGCAACACGGCGCCCTGCTGCAATAGGAGTTGTGAGACACTTTCCATCCACCTCTGCGGGAAAAGGAAAAGACCCTGCTCAGCATTTGTCCCATGACACTGGTTACCTCCCTCCAGCTGTCCCTTCAACCCCAACAGGTGCACCTTGGTCTGATGGCCCTAGGTCTGAGTGAGCCCTCCTGGCTCTGGTCCAGTGCACAGAAACGGTCCTCAGGGTAACACTGGCAGAGGAGTCACTGAGGTTGAGAAAACTGCAGGGACAGCCACCAGTGGCCATTCAGAGAAGTGTACTGGAGCCCAGAGGCCCCTTCTGTCTTCCATCTTGTTTCTCCCTCAGCCTCCTTCCTGGAGACCCCACTGCATCCAGGCCCTGGGCTCAGCCCTGAACCAGACTGACACGACAGGCCTCGGTCTCTGCAGAGGGGAAGGCGTGGTGAACTACACAAATTCCTCCAGAGTCACCTGTGAGAGGGCCCTAGAGCGCGGTCCCTGAAGGCGACAGGACTTAGCTATGCACTGCACTGGGCAGCAGGATGCTGGTGGAGGGAAAAAGGGAGAGGAGTCAGAGCAGAGGCTCTGAAGGCCATGTGCAGCTGGAAAAGGACCTCGCTCGGGGTGACACCATTGGGGGGCGTAGTTTGGGTGGCTGTGTCAGCAAGGGGGAATGGGGCCTGCCAGAGCAGGCTTCTTCTCTTTGGCATGATAGGCCCACCTGTAAACGGAGGTTGCTGGCATCCTGTGCGGCTCAGGCACCTGTCTCTCGGCCCCATCTGCGTCCATCGGGAAGATGAGAAAATCCAGGTAAGGTAGTGGACTGCACCCGAGTCCCCCAAGGCTTCCACTCAATCTTTCCCTTACCACTTCACTGGGGAACTGCACCCCGACCTCCCAGAGGACAGCCCAGGCAGAGTCTGAGCTGTGACAGGCCGTCCTGTCCTCCCTGGGGACAGTATAAGCCAAGGTGGTGGAAGAGGGGAGGGAGGACAAGGGTGGCAGTCAGACCTCACTCCCACAGGCAGGGCTCCGACTCTTGGGCTCTGGGGGCCGCTGGGCCAAGGCATCCTAGGTAGCCTGCCCTCCTGCCCTTCATTTCCTACCCAACTGGCTGTGGAAGTGACAAGAGGGAGGCCTGGGCCTTGTCCTTGGGGAAATACAGATTTATGAGGGTCTGGGGGGAGTGTCCCCGCTCCTTCCCCTTCCCATATGGCTTCCTTGAGGGCAGGGGTAGCTCAGAGATGCTTCTGGGATGAATAACAGAGTGGACAGGAGACATCCAGGCTGGGAGACCTCTTGGTGACTCCTTTTATTTCACTGTTCCAGGTCACATACCCTGCTCTCCTCCCCCACTCTGTGCCCACTGGCTGGCACCCCCGCCTCAGCACTGTGGCAGCCCATCCCCTTCACCAGTGCTCCCTTAGAGCCCCCAGCCACAGCCTGGAACTGCACAACCCCGCCCCCACCAGATGCCACCAGTCTTCTGTTCCCTGAGGTCTTTGTCCCTTTTCTCCTCCCCCTCCATATTTCCTCAAGGCAGGGCTGCTCCTCTGCCACCTTTGTGATGTTAGGTCTGGAAAGGGTCTTGACACCCAGTGTCAGTTAAGCTTTGTTGACAGGACAGGTAACACTTGAAAGGAGCTCACTGCACTCGACACTGTGTAAGTGCTTCATATGGAACCTTGACTCCTCACAGCTACCCCAGGAGGTTGGCCATTTTGCAGATGAGGACATTGAAGTAGAGGGAGGTCAAGTGACATGCTCAACTTCACCCAGTAAATGGCTGAGCAGGATGGAACCGGGCCAGTTGGGCACCTGACAGCCGGTCTGCTGCCCTGTAGAGCAGGACGGACACCTGTCATTGACAAGAGGGACACCTGCCTGAATGGGCAATATACCCCAGACTAATGCCTGCTATCCTGTGGCCTTTTTGCCCTTGTGTACCCTTGGGGATGCAGGTCCCCCACCCATTCTATTTGGCAGAGTAGGTGTGACCATTCTTGGCAGTTCATGTTTGCAGAATGATCACTTTGCTACACGGATCCCCAAGACATGCACAGCTTTTAAAGACCCTTGGGGTCATCTTCCCTCCCCCAAGCCTCAACTTCCTGCTCTGGGAAGTAGGCTTCCTTTGGTATGGGGTCTGGTAGGAATTATGACACTGCGTCCACAGCCCTAGCATCTTAGCATCGTGTGGAGCAATGGTCAGGCCAGGCACATGCTCTTCAGCCCCGGGAGCAGCTCCTTCCCTAGACCTGGGCACTATGGGACAAGAAGATAAGCTGGCAGGTCCCTGGAGCCTGGCTGGACTCTGAGGCTTGTTTTGCCACCTGACAGTGGGTGGGACACACTTGTCAAAGCCTCTTTTTGCTGCAAATAGACTGTGTCCCACCCCTTTTGGCTGAGTTGCCCAGAGGGCAGGGGATGGGTGGGTGCATGGGGGGTAGCCCTGGCAATGCCTCTGTCAGCTGTGGTTAACAAGTGGCAGCTAGCAGGCCAGGGCAGGCTGTGGTGACCTCGGGTGGGGACAGCCAATGAGCTCTCAAGCTGTGGTGGCACCACCGGGCAGCCCGCCTGTCTTTGGCTGGTGTAACAGCGGGAGGGGCCTGGGCCCGCCAGTCAGGGCCGCCAGCCCTGTCTCTGGGAGACTGGGGCAGATCTGCCACTCATTCACAGAGAGCCTCCTAGGGCTGCCTCAGTTTCAACTTTTCCAACCTCTTCAGGATGGCTGAGAAAACTTTGGGAACTTGGCCCATCTTCTGGATCCAAGTGGGCCAGAGCCCCAGGCTGGGGAGAGGGGAGATTCTGGGTATGCTTTGTTCAAGGCTTGCAGCTGGCCTGAGGGAACTGGAGGGCTGGTTGGGAAAAGCAGAGGGTGGGGGTCAAGGCCCAGGTGCCCACCCAGGACCAGTGACAGGGACTCCAGGCTCTGCACCCTTACAGCTACCAGAGTTCCCCTTATCCTGTGCCTGTGTGGAGCCAGTCCTGAACAGCATTTGTGACTTAAGTGGCTGTCAGCTTGGGCCAGGGGCAAGGGCGAGAGAACTCCTGTGTTGTATAGGCTGGACACTATCAGTAGCAACAGGGGCCTGGTCCCCCCACCTCAGTCCCCTTATTCCACGCAGACCCACCACGGCCAATCACATAATAAACATATATTTATAGATGTACAATTTCAGAATTCTAATTCAAGAAATACAGCTTCTCAGGGGATCCTTTAGGATCTGTTCTTATTGCACATGGCTCAGCCCGTCTAGGTACAGCTACCAAGACCAGACGGTCGGGGTGGTGGGGGCAGAGCACCAGGGCCACCTCGGGTGGGGCACTCTGGCCTGCATCCAGTTCTTATGATCTCTCTGGGCCGGGGAGGCCACTTCATTGCAGGGTGCGAACTTGTTTAAAAACCAGATTTGACATTTCCTTACCAAACTTCCTTTCCCAGCAGGAATCCTATTTGTTGGGGTACTTTTAAAAAAGAGCCAAGATGAACTCGGGAAGGACAGTTGCCACCGCGTGGCTGGCAGCTTGGGGAAGTAAGGCTTTGGAAGATGGCAGGCGCAACACCATGCCCACCACCACAGGAAAGCTCAGGAAGAACACAATTCCAAAAGGCCCAGTATAAATGTGGGAATAAATAAAACCTCCCTCCTTCCTCTGGCAGCAACTGTTTTGAGAAAAATCCTCATCTGAAGGGGAAGGTAAGAAAAACATTCTGGTTCAGGTGTATCCTTCATCGAGTGTGCACGAGGAGGCCTGGTGCAGCCATGTCAACGAAGGGTGAAGACAGAGGTGCCCACAGGCACTGACTTTTCTTCATGAGTCAGGCTGCTGCCCTGGGGTCCTGGGCTGACTCTTGGAAGAAGAGTCTTCTGGAGTTCTCGGTGCATGACTTAGGAAAAACCAGTGGCAACGATGGAGCCGTGCCCTGTGGCACCTATAAGGCAAAACCCATGTAGGGACCCAGGTGGGGAAGTAGTTAGGTAGAACCTGGCACCTCTCCAAGCCCTGCAGTTCTGTGGGCAGGGGACTGGCTGAGGGGCTCCTGGGCACAAGGACAAAGAACCCACCTGAGCTGGCCAAAGGCAGGGGTGGGGCAGCTTGAGTGGGTGCTCCTCACCCCAGCAGGCTGTCTGGGCCTCTACCATGGCTCAATACTGACCTGGTACCCACCCCTAGGGGCAACTTTCTTCCCCCACAGCTGTTCCTCTCCAGTCTAACCATAAATCTGGTGACCTTCAGAAGTTTTCTATGGATTTATACCATCATGATTACTGCTGCCATCAAAAAACAGGCTAGGGCTGCAGGGCAGGGGACATGAAAAGCATTATGACCCAACTTTCCTTATGCCGTCAGCTGTGGCTGATGTCTAGCTTTTGAAGGACCAGGATGCCTTCCCCAAACAGGCCTCGTTTTCTGAAACACAGAGGAAATCATCTGAACAGCTTAACTCAATCCCTGCATAGTTTAAAAAGTAGACTCTATATGTGTGTATATATATATATATCTTTATATATGCCTATTTACATATAAATAGATATATATACATATACATGCATCTATAAGTTACATTCTAAGGAGAGTTTTTTTCCTTCTTTCTTCCTCTCTATCCTTGGCCAATGCCTCTGCCTGGCTTCTCCTGTGAGGTGACTGATGGTGGCTCCTGAGAGGGGGAGGAGAGGCAGTTGGGCACCCCTCCCCCAGTCTTTCCCACAGACATTTGCTGCAAGTTTTACATTCTACTTTCGTTGCCATGGTTTCTGTATCCTAGGAGAGAGCTGATGCAGAGCCTCTGCCAGCCCTGGGAGGGAAGGAAGCAGCCCCTGGCAGGTTTTCTGTCTGTCCTAAGAGCTTTCTGCATTTACTGGGTGAGACAGAGGGCAGTTGTGCAGCGTTCGGCCTCCAATTCCATTTTAATTTTTTCTTTGTATGTCTTTCCTTAAATATACAGTCCATCACCTTGGCTCAGTGCGTGTCACCAAAAGTTCTCCAGGGATTTCATAGTCTGGGGAGGAGAGTGGTTAACAGTCAGCTGGTTAACAGTTACCTCAGCCCATGCAAACAAGCAGCCCGCCTTGCGCAGTGCCCCTGCCCGGCTCAGCCCCCGCTGCAGTGTGCTGCACTCTCTGGAGTCACTAGCAAATGGGCACAGAGTAGAGTCTGCTGCTGAATCTGTGACGAGGGGAGACAGGTAAAGGAGGGGACGAGAAAGATCCCAATACTGAGAAGTCTCTACTGGCTCTGCCTGCATTTCTTCAGGCCTGGTGCAAGCTATCTGTTGGGGGCACTGGGAGCAGAGCCCACCACTCACATGCAGAGTTGGAGGAGGTGGGTGCCTACTCCCAGCAACTCACATTTTCTCCCACCCCTTCTGTACTGAGTGGATGCATTTGACCATGAACTCATGACCCGTTCCCTTCCTCAGACCACAGGCAAGATGCCTGGGCGGGGCCGGATGCCTGTGGCTTCCAGACACCAGGTGCAGTAACATTGGAGAGAGGGCCTGAAATCCCACCGGAGTGGGGTGTGGTCAGGGCGCACAGGCCTCTCCTGCCCACAATCAGGCTGCCCATTCATCTTGTTCCATTTCCTCCTGCCTGGAAGGACGGGGAAGGGAGGGCTCTAGGCCCACCCACTTGCACATGGTTCTTCCTGGCATCAGGCAGGCAGTGGGTGTGGGGGCTGTCTTGGGCCCTGTAATATTTGGTGTCCTAAATACCAGGGCACAGGCAATAGTCAGCTGTACTTGGGAAAGGGTTGGGGTGACTTGATGGTTGGAATAGACAAAAGAGCAACAGCATTGGGCTCCACCACGCAGCCCCAGAACGAGAGAAGGAAGTGGGGTGTAGGAGGTAGAGTAGACAATGACTGGACGGTTGAAAAGATCTCAGTTAAACAAGCTGGCCCCAGAGCTGTCCTGTCTGTGGGGTCTGGAAGTCAGGCTGGGACAGGGGTCTTTGCCATCACCACCAGGTTTCCTCCCTCCCCACCTCCTCTGCCTCATGACCAAGGCCAAAGCTGCCAGGAGTTGCAGGGCAGAGGCAGCCCTGGCTCATACTTGGACCTGGGTGGTGTGGCTGGCCCAGGACTATCCATGCAGGGAGGCCTGCACCTCTGACAGCCGGCTGCAGCTTGGGGTTCCCATCTTCTGTGCTCTGTGGTACATATCTGTGTCACCAAAGTAGCGGGCCCGGTATAGCAAGCCTTCCTCTGCAAGGTAATGGACAAGGGTTAGGGCACACTCAGTACCTCCTGGAGTCTGCCAGAAGGCCTGCCTGGGCCTGTTGGGGGAAGAAGAAGGTTGGTACAGGCCCAGGAGCTTGGGCAGAGCTAGCTTCCCTGGGAGAAGACCCTGGAGGAACAGACTACGGTCCCCGCCTTGGAGAGGGATGATAGAGGCCCCTTCCCTTAGAATACGGGTGAGGCCATTCAGGGTGAAAGCTTGTTATCTTGGTCAGACTTCCCCAGGGTCCCATAGATAGCCCGGGGTGCACAATCAGTGGGAGGTTAGGAGCTCTCTAATCTGTTTCTACCTACTCATCCCTGGCAGCCAGAATGACAGGCTGATTGCAGTGATTTAAAGGACCTGGAGAAAATCACCAGGTGGCCTGGGTTCTCAGCCCCAGGGGAACACAGGAGTGGAGTCCAGGTCTTGGCTGGGAGGCAGCTGGCACAGGGCAGTACCAGGTGCCAGGCCCATGAAAATGGGTGAGTAGGGCTTTCTCCTTCCCCTGTTCTCCAGCTTTGTGATCAGCCACCCTCCCAGACAGTCTGTCGTGCGTACACACACACACACACACACACACACACACACACACACACACACTTACTTTGCTGCTTCTCCTTCCAACAGTTATTTCGGAGGTTGGCGATATAATCATCTTCCACATTCCGTTCAACTGTTTTGAGGCTGGAGCCTGTGTACTCCTCAGAGAAGGTCTCCGCCACATAGTAGACAACACTCAGGTGCTCTGTGACTCGTCTGTGGACATGGCCCACTGACCTGGCCAGAAATATACCAGTGCAAAGTGGACCTAGGGGCCAGGCCCAGGGAAGCTCAAGGGAAGGTGGAGCCTACTTTGGGAGGTACCGCCAGCCACAGGAGTAGCCGATTCCCTTCCACTCTGCAGCAGGAACTCTTGTGCTCCCCCAAACGTCTCCAGCAAAGGCAGAGTGTCCCTGCCACACAACCAGCATACAGCAAGCCTTTCCTCTAAGCACAATTGACCTGTGGCCTTTGGGGAAAAGCCCTTCCTGAGAAGCTCTAATCTGTGACACTGGAGAGGCAGTGTGCTTCCATTTTCCCATCCATTCCCTAAACACATCAATGCCCACAGCCTGCCTGCCTCTACAGGAGCTTCCAGTCTAAGGTTAGATTCTTAGGGATAGGGCTGGGGCTGTAGTCCAGTGGCAGATGTGGCACATGTGAGGCCCTGGGTTTGACCCTTAGCACAACATAAAAATAATAAATAAAATAAAGGTATGCTGTCCATTTACAACTACAAAAAAATAAAAATGATAAAAAAAGATTTTTTTGGGACAAAAATAATAGGGCTAGGGGTACTGTGCAGTGGTAGAATGTGTGCTTAGTGTGTGAAAGGCAAGAGGTTCAATTCCCAGTACCAAAACAAAAAACTCACAGGAACAAAATATGATAGGAAAGATTCCAAGGAGTTGTATCCTTCCAGCCCCAATCATGGGCTCTGTAGGCTGCAGGGAGAACAGAACATAGAAGCCCCTCATCTTTCCAGCTGCAGGGAAGGGGCTGGCATCTGGCCACTTGGAGCCTGAGCCAGCTACCATGGGTACACTGAGTGAATTCTGCCCTCTACTGGCTGCAATGAAGCCTGCAACCCCCTGCCTTCAGGCCAGAGGGCGGTGCTGGGTATGAGCAGAGGGCTTCAAGAAACAGAAGTTAAGTACCCACGATGTATGAGATACTATGACAAGACTGAGAATAGAGAGGGGAGTGGACATCTTTTTTTTTTTTTTTAAATATATATATTTACTTTTTAGTTGTAGTTGGACACAATACCTTTATTTTATTTATTTATTGTTACATGGTGCTGAGGATCAAACCCATGGCCTCCCTGTGCTAGGCAAGTGCTCTACCGCTGAGCCCCAGCCCTAGCCCGGGAGTGGACATCTTAAAGGGTCAACTAATCTACCAACCTCACTACTGGCAGGTGAGACCAAGTATTCACTCGAAAACATTAAGCATTTCTAATGAGCCAGATATTTAATATGTATTACTCATTAATTTTCTCAAGTGGGTAGATGCTGCTATTTTATGGACGAGGAAACTATAGTTATGCATCTAGGTTCACAACTCTCAGTGGAGAAGATGGGGTTCAAAACTACCCTTGCACTGAGTCTAGGGTCCCTGTCCTTTCCATGGCTGTCAGGGCCTCAACCAGCATCTAAGAGCAGCGATTATTTCAGGGTCAGCAGATAAGATGGGGAAGGAGGAGCCATGAAGTCTCTGAAATCACATGTCAAAATCTGAGAGTGCACTGAGGGAACAGGTCTGGAGCTTCCACGGCATTTTCTTTCTTTTGGTGATGGGGAGGAAACCCAGGGTCTTTACCACTGTACTTTATCCCTAATCCTTTTTATTTTTTATTCTGAGGCAAGTCCTCACTATGTAGCTGAGAGTCTAGCCA